ATGAATGAAGCACATTAATCCAAGAGACTTTTCAGTGGTGACGCACCGATTTGAACATTTTTGCCGATACGATAACCGATAATTCTTTATATTTTAAAGCCGATAACCAATATATTGCCAGATAAATCTAAATCCACATTTTCATATAATTCTTGAGAGCCTGATTACAAAAACAAAAGTCTCACCCTTAAATCCATGTCCCAAACACACAATTATGATGATGTTCAGACATGTTTCATGCAGCCGAAATGACAGACTTGCGCTGAACCGTATTTTCCTTTTTTGAAATGATTCCAATCATATTTCAAGCAATTAAACACCATCATGTTGAACAATCGTATCTGAAGCGTCTCAGCTGAGGGAAATCATACATTACTTATCGGCTTTCATATATCGGACAAAATTTCTTATCGGGTCGATAACGATAACATCAAAGATGAACATACATCTGTCGTGTTACATTTACTTTAAGCTTTCTTTCAAATCGAAGCATTGATCAGCGAGCGTGAGCTCAACCGTACTTGCTTGACCGATGCGGTTTATCTTCGCGCGGCACATTTGAGCTTCTGCAAGAACCAACGAGGTTCTCAAGCAAGTACGGCTGAGCTTCCGTTCACGTTCGCTGATCAATGTTTATAAAAGCCGTCGCCATCTTGGCCGCGCGTCACTCCCGGATAAACGAACACGTGCAGCGAGGCGGATTAGCTGAGGTGACGTGACGCTAACGCTAGCAGACAAACGGCTAGTAGTGACATCAGCGGCAATCCACCTGTCACTCAAGTGGCCACGCCCTTAATTATGCAGAACTTTAAGGCTTTATATAATTTAAACGGATGAGTTATAAAAACATCCCCCCTCACAGTCGTCATGAAGAGCAACATTAGCGATATAGAGCAAAACCACTTTTAGCTCCAGACTGTAAACATGTGTTTTTCTGCTGTAAAGTTGGGCATTTTAACATGCGGGTCTATGGGACTGAGTCTCTTCTGCAGCCGCCTCTAGTGGCCAGTGGAGGAACTGCAGGTTAAGGCACTCAGTGTTGGTTCAGGAGAGAGACGGGCAGGTTCTGCTTGGTGTGATAAAAACTAAAGATGTAAAAAAGATCAACATTAAAATAATGTTTAATTGACCCTTCGCAGGGAGCTTGATTGACAGGTGATCTGACCAATAATACTTCGCCCTCCGACAAAGCAGCCAGGAGAGTTAGTAGATTAACATGGGGGGATTTGCACTTGAGAAAGGGAGTGTACTGACGCCTTTCTGCGGTTGAAAAAACATTCCTTCTGATGTTCATTCATGTTTATTTGATGCTATAAATGAACTAGAAGGACGAGATGATCGGATCACGAGCGGCTTTAACTGAGGCTCTACAGCGGTCAGTCACGACACACATTAAAGAGCCACAAAACGCTATTGTTTAAATTTATTTAAACAAAAATAACCGAAAAGTAACCTGGTCTGTCCTGTCTGTCAGCGTGTTGTCGTAGTCTCCTCTCTGCTCCGCGATGTATTTTTCAAGTCAAGTGAAATATATTTATATAGCGCTTTTCACAATACAGAATGTATCAAAGCAAACCTAACAGTGTTTGTTTATTACTGGAAAAGACATCCAAGTTTGGTAGAGCTGATCAGTGGTATGATGGGTCATTTAATTTGAATATCCCCAAAAGTCATTTTTGAGAACGGCGTAGCTTGTCGGACATAGCGACAGTAACTAAGGGGGGCGGGTCTTTGCGAACGGTCAATTGGCTTGGTTCTGAACGGCATGATGTTTGGAGGATGTGTGTGTGTGTGTGTGTGTGGAGGATGTGTGTGTGTGTGTGGAGGATGTGTGTGTGTGTTTGCACTGACCTGCATGAGGACGGCCGGGCCCAGATACTTGTCTCCGTTCCACCAGTAACTGGGACAGCTGGTGCTGCAGCACGCACACAGGATACACTCGTACAGGCCGTCCTGACACACACACACACACAGTGAGACCACAGACACGTGTGTGAGAGAGTGTGTGTGAGAGAGTGTGTGTGTGTGTGTGTGTGTGTGTGTGTGTGTGTGTGTGTGTGTGTGTGTGTGTACCAGCTTCTCTCGGTCCTCCACACTCTGCAGGTACTGCTCTTTCCCCTCTCTGGACTCGTCCTTCTTCTTCAGGTACGGCTCGATGGATTTATACTGAGCGTAGAAGTTGCTCATGTCCTGCAGGAGACAGACAGCGTTCACACTCTCACACACACTCTTACACATTCTTACACACACACACTCACACACACTCTCACTCACTCTTACACACTCTTACACACACACACACTCTCACTTTCACACACACACTCACTCTTAGACACACACACACTCTCACTTTCACACACACACTCTCACTTTCACACACACACACTCACCGGCACCAGGTCCTTCACCACGTACATGTGTGGCAGTGGGTAGATCTTCGTCACTTTGCTGGTGTTCGTGTCGATCTTGTTCAGACACGCTAACGTGTTTCCACCGTTGATGTTCATAGCGCAAGATCCACAGATTCCTGTAGAACAGATCACAACCGCATCAGACCGGATCACAACCGGATCACAACCAGATCAGACCGGATCACACCCGCATCAGACCGGATCACAACCGCATCAGACCGGATCACAACCGGATCACAACCAGATCAGACCGGATCACAACCAGATCAGACCGGATCACAACCGGATCAGACCGGATCAGACCGGATCACAACCAGATCACAACCGGATCAGACCGGATCACAACCGGATCACAACCGGATCAGACCGGATCACACCCGCATCAGACCGGATCACAACCGCATCAGACCGGATCACAACCGGATCACAACCAGATCAGACCGGATCACAACCAGATCAGACCGGATCACAACCGGATCAGACCGGATCAGACCGGATCACAACCAGATCACAACCGGATCAGACCGGATCACAACCGGATCACAACCGGATCAGACCGGATCACAACCGGATCACAACCAGATCAGACCGGATCACAACCGGATCAGACCGGATCAGACCGGATCACAACCGGATCAGACCGGATCACAACCGGATCAGACCGGATCACAACCGGATCACAACCAGAATTTTTTTTTTCATGTTTGAGCGGCGCGATTAACGGTTAGCGTGTCTCACCCTCTCGGCAGGAGCGCCTGAAGGTCAGCGTCCCGTCCATCTCGTTCTTGATCTTGATGAGCGCGTCCAGAACCATCGGCCCGCAGCTGAGGGACACAACACACACTCTGTCACGCGTGTACACACACTCAGTCACACACACACTCTGCCCGACGGCGCTCCACTCACGTGTTGAGGTCGACCTCGTACGTCTGCATGCGCGGTTTGTCCCCGACGGTGTCCGGATCCCAGCGGTAGATCTGGAAGGCCTTGATCCTGGGCTGAGCCGCGGGAGCCGCTACTGTCTGCGCGAACCGCACCGCCTGGAGAACACAACACCGCGCGTCACTGACACTGCCCTCTAGCGGCCACTGGCGGCACGGCAGCACTGACACCAAACACACTCACGGGACAACATGACCCGGGCCCTAACATTATACTTCCAGAAAGGTTATTTCATTTCATTTTCAGAATATTTTTTAATTATTTTGTATGCAATTTTAATAAATAAATAGTAATTTAAGCACATTTCTCACATTTTTTCAACTTAAATTCAAAATAACTCACAATTTCATGCATAGCCCTTTTAATAATTCAGCTCTAAATATCTTACATTGGGAGTCTTTGTGACCTCTTGTGGAAAATAATAATATAACATGATACTTCATAACTCTTGCCACTAGATGGCCTTATAGAGCTCATTATCAGATGAGCTGTTCCGCTGGGTCCTTAAGTCATTTCTCTTCAGATACACATGTAGATGTTATAAAATAATTCTTTGGTAAAGTTATAGCATTTTTAGGTTTTTCTAAACGCATTCCACTCACTCCTAAGGGGCTCAGATTGACCCGAGAGGGAAGGATTTGTTACTTTTCTAAATTTCAACCACAAAACTCCTCGAATCCATGATTAGTGTGTGTATTCGTTGTTCAAGTGCGACAAAAGTCCTCCGATGAACACTTAATTAAAAAAAAAAATCTAAAATATTTTGGTCACAATGACCCGAGGGGGGATGAGATGAAGACATGTCACGTGATCACTGGATGGGTTTAATCTGTGAAGTTGATAACATCAACAACACTGATACAGTATCAAATGCTTTCTAATGGATAAAATATAAAACACGTCACATTATATTCTATATCAGTGCTACATCATCATCACTGTATAATAGAAAACAGCAGCTTGTCACGATCGTGCGACACAACATTAATCCCAATCCTTCCCTCGTATCACACTATAGCGATGTTAAACTGCTAGCCGTGTGTGTAACCGTGAAGACGCCGATGTGCTCGTGTTAGCGTGAGCGTCCGTGTGAGCTGTCGCTGATCAGGTGATGGTGTTTACCGTGATCGCGGGTCGGTGGACGGCGGCGCAGCGGCTCAAGGAGAAACACACAGCGGCCATGATCGCGTCAGTCTGACCCTCGGTCCTCCGGCGGCCCAGAGTGCACCGCGCGGGCCCGCCTCACACAACACGCGCTGCTTCCTGTCGAGGGAGGATACCGCGTCTGACGCCCACGGGTGATGTGCACTAGGAAGGCAGATTAGTAGGGGTTGAAACACAGCCCGCGAGTGATATAAGTGATTGTGTATCGCATTATATGAATTACAGTTGAATGTTTAACTTGTCGCAAATTTATTAAAAAAAAAATATTAACCGCACGAATTACATTTAACCGAGAATAAACCACATACATAACTAGTGAAAAACATTGCTTTGACGGTGTTCTACTGTCTTATTCATTATTATTAATTTTTGGTATTTGTATTTTTCATAGCGTTTGAATAATAATAATGTATGTGTCCAGTGTAATTTAAAATAAAGCATTTGTGCTTTTATTAGACTTTTATTTTCTCGTGTGCCCCGGATATGACGTCGCGGTGCAGGCGAACTGTGCACGAGAGCTCGAGGTCACGCATGTGAACTCAGTGGCCGTTGATCAGTAACTCGTTAGATCGATCAGTGTGATTGAGTGATTGATTTATCATCATGGTGTTCCTCACGCTCTCCTGCTGGATCCGGAACCGCGGACCCGACCGGTACTGGAAGGTGCAGGAGCTCCTGAAGAACGCGCGGGTGAGAGGATGGAGACATCTGTCTATCTATCTATCTATCTATCTATCTATCTATCTATCTATCTATCTATCTATCTATCTATCTATCTATCTATCTATCTATCTATCTATCTATCTATCTATCTATCTATCTATCTATCTATCTATCTATCTATCTATCTATCTATCTATCTATCTGTCTGTCTGTCTGTTTATATCTATCTATCTATCTATCTGTCAATATGTCTATCTATCTATCTATCTATCTATCTATCTATCTATCTATCTATCTATCTATCTATCTGTCTGTCTGTTTATATCTATCTATCTATCTATCTGTCAATATGTCTATCTATCTATCTATCTATCTATCTGTCTGTCTGTCTGTTTATATCTATCTATCTATCTATCTGTCAATATGTCTATCTATCTATCTATCTATCTATCTATCTATCTATCTATCTATCTGTCTGTCTGTTTATATCTATCTATCTATCTATCTGTCAATATGTCTATCTATCTATCTATCTATCTATCTATCTATCTGTCTGTCTGTTTATATCTATCTATCTATCTATCTGTCTGTCTGTTTATATCTATCTATCTATCTATCTGTCAATATGTCTATCTATCTATCTATCTATCTATCTATCTATCTATCTATCTGTCTATCTCTGTCTATCTATCTATCTATCTGTCAATATGTCTATCTATCTATCTATCTATCTATCTATCTGTCTGTCTGTTTATATCTATCTATCTATCTATCTGTCAATATGTCTATCTATCTATCTATCTATCTATCTATCTATCTATCTGTCTGTCTGTTTATATCTATCTATCTATCTATCTGTCTGTCTGTTTATATCTATCTATCTATCTATCTGTCAATATGTCTATCTATCTATCTATCTATCTATCTATCTATCTATCTATCTATCTATCTATCTATCTATCTGTCTGTCTGTTTATATCTATCTATCTATCTATCTGTCTGTCTGTTTATATCTATCTATCTATCTATCTGTCAATATGTCTATCTATCTATCTATCTATCTATCTATCTATCTATCTATCTGTCTGTCTGTTTATATCTATCTATCTATCTATCTGTCAATATGTCTATCTATCTATCTATCTATCTATCTATCTATCTATCTATCTATCTATCTATCTATCTGTCTGTCTGTTTATATCTATCTGTCTATCTATCTGTCTATCTGTCTATCTATCTGTCTGTCTGTCTGTCTGTGTATATCTATCTGTCTATCTATCTATCTATCTATCTATCTATCTATCTATCTATCTGTCTATCTATCTGTCTATCTGTCTGTATCTGTCTGTATCTGTCTGTCTGTCTGAATGTTCTGAAACAAATAGTCACATTTAAAAACGAATGTCAAGCTCAAACATTTCAGTAAAACGCTCCATGAACGATGTATAAATAATGTTTTAGTTCTGACGGTTTGAGAACGTTATTAAAGAGCAGATACCTTTGAACAAACGTTCTATTAACGTTCCTGTTCGCTGGATGCTGATGTGTGTGTGTGTGTGTGTGTGTGTGTGTGTTTTCAGTGAAGGAGTGTGTGTGTGTGTGTGTGTGTTCAGTGAAGGAGTGTGTGTGTGTGTGTGTGTGTGTGTGTGTTCAGTGAAGGAGTGTGTGTGTGTGTGTGTGTGTTCAGTGAAGGAGTGTGTGTGTGTTCAGTGAAGGAGTGTGTGTGTGTGTGTGTGTTCGTGTTCAGTGAAGGAGTCTGATGTGTGTGTGTGTGTCTGTGTGTTCAGTGAAGGAGTGTGTGTGTCTGTCTGTTCAGTGAAGGAGTGTGTGTGTGTGTGTTCAGTGAAGGAGTCTGATGTGTGTGTGTTCAGTGAAGGAGTGTGTGTGTGTGTGTGTTCAGTGAAGGAGTCTGATGTGTGTGTGTTCAGTGAAGGGGTGTGTGTGTGTGTTCAGTGAAGGAGTCTGATGTGTGTGTGTTCAGTGAAGGGGTGTGTGTGTGTGTTCAGTGAAGGAGTCTGATGTGTGTGTGTGTGTGTGTGTGTGTGTGTGTGTGTGTGTGTGTGTGTGTGTGTGTTCAGTGAAGGAGTCTGATGTGTGTGTGTGTGTTCAGTGAAGGAGTCTGATGTGTGTGTGTGTGTGTGTGTGTGTGTGTGTGTGTGTTCAGTGAAGGAGTCTGATGTGTGTGTGTGTTCAGTGAAGGAGTCTGATGTGTGTGTGTGTGTTCAGTGAAGGAGTCTGATGTGTGTGTGTGTGTGTGTGTGTGTGTGTGTGTGTGTGTGTTCAGTGAAGGAGTCTGATGTGTGTGTGTGTGTGTGTGTGTGTGTGTGTGTGTGTGTGTGTTCAGTGAAGGAGTCTGATGTGTGTGTGTGTGTGTGTTCAGTGAAGGAGTCTGATGTGTGTGTGTGTGTGTGTGTGTGTGTTCAGTGAAGGAGTCTGATGTGTGTGTGTGTGTGTGTGTGTTCAGTGAAGGAGTCTGATGTGTGTGTTCAGTGAAGGAGTCTGATGTGTGTGTTCAGTGAAGGAGTGTGTGTGTGTGTGTGTTCAGTGAAGGAGTCTGATGTGTGTGAGTGTGTGTGTGTGTGTGTGTTCAGTGAAGGAGTGTGTGTGTGTGTGTTCAGTGAAGGAGTCTGATGTGTGTGTTCAGTGAAGGAGTGTGTGTGTGTGTGTGTTCAGTGAAGGAGTCTGATGTGTGTGAGTGTGTGTGTGTGTGTGTTCAGTGAAGGAGTCTGATGTGTGTGTTCAGTGAAGGAGTCTGATGTGTGTGTGTTCAGTGAAGGAGTCTGATGTGTGTGTTCAGTGAAGGAGTCTGATGTGTGTGTGTGTGTGTGTGTGTTCAGTGAAGGAGTGTGTGTGTGTGTGTGTGTGTGTTCAGTGAAGGAGTGTGTGTGTGTGTGTGTGTGTGTGTTCAGTGAAGGAGTGTGTGTGTGTGTGTGTGTTCGTGTTCAGTGAAGGAGTCTGATGTGTGTGTGTGTGTCTGTGTGTTCAGTGAAGGAGTGTGTGTGTCTGTCTGTTCAGTGAAGGAGTGTGTGTGTGTGTGTTCAGTGAAGGAGTCTGATGTGTGTGTGTTCAGTGAAGGAGTGTGTGTGTGTGTGTGTGTTCAGTGAAGGAGTCTGATGTGTGTGTGTTCAGTGAAGGAGTCTGATGTGTGTGTTCAGTGAAGGAGTGTGTGTGTGTGTGTGTTCAGTGAAGAAGTCTGATGTGTGTGTTCAGTGAAGGAGTCTGATGTGTGTGTGTTCAGTGAAGGAGTCTGATGTGTGTGTGTTCAGTGAAGGGGTGTGTGTGTGTGTTCAGTGAAGGAGTCTGATGTGTGTGTGTTCAGTGAAGGGGTGTGTGTGTGTGTTCAGTGAAGGAGTCTGATGTGTGTGTGTGTGTGTGTGTGTGTGTGTTCAGTGAAGGAGTCTGATGTGTGTGTGTGTGTTCAGTGAAGGAGTCTGATGTGTGTGTGTGTGTGTGTTCAGTGAAGGAGTCTGATGTGTGTGTGTTCAGTGAAGGGGTGTGTGTGTGTGTTCAGTGAAGGAGTCTGATGTGTGTGTGTGTGTGTGTGTGTGTGTGTGTTCAGTGAAGGAGTCTGATGTGTGTGTGTGTGTGTGTTCAGTGAAGGAGTCTGATGTGTGTGTGTGTGTGTGTGTGTGTGTGTGTGTGTGTGTGTGTGTTCAGTGAAGGAGTCTGATGTGTGTGTGTGTTCAGTGAAGGAGTCTGATGTGTGTGTGTGTGTGTGTGTGTGTGTGTGTGTGTTCAGTGAAGGAGTCTGATGTGTGTGTGTGTGTGTGTGTGTGTGTTCAGTGAAGGAGTCTGATGTGTGTGTGTGTGTGTGTTCAGTGAAGGAGTCTGATGTGTGTGTGTGTGTGTGTGTGTGTTCAGTGAAGGAGTCTGATGTGTGTGTGTGTGTGTGTGTGTTCAGTGAAGGAGTCTGATGTGTGTGTGTGTGTGTGTGTGTGTGTGTGTGTGTGTGTGTGTGTGTGTGTGTGTGTGTGTGTGTGTGTGTGTGTTCAGTGAAGGAGTCTGATGTGTGTGTTCAGTGAAGGAGTCTGATGTGTGTGTTCAGTGAAGGAGTCTGATGTGTGTGTGTTCAGTGAAGGAGTCTGATGTGTGTGTTCAGTGAAGGAGTCTGATGTGTGTGTGTGTGTGTGTGTGTGTGTGTTCAGTGAAGGAGTGTGTGTGTGTGTGTTCAGTGAAGGAGTCTGATGTGTGTGTGTTCAGTGAAGGAGTCTGATGTGTGTGTGTTCAGTGAAGGGGTGTGTGTGTGTGTTCAGTGAAGGAGTCTGATGTGTGTGTTCAGTGAAGGAGTCTGATGTGTGTGTGTGTGTGTGTGTGTGTGTGTGTGTGTGTTCAGTGAAGAAGTCTGATGTGTGTGTTCAGTGAAGGAGTCTGATGTGTGTGTGTGTGTGTTCAGTGAAGGAGTGTGTGTGTGTGTTCAGTGAAGGAGTCTGATGTGTGTGTGTGTGTTCAGTGAAGGAGTCTGATGTGTGTGTGTGTGTGTGTGTGTGTGTGTGTGTGTTCAGTGAAGGAGTCTGATGTGTGTGTGTGTGTGTGTGTGTGTTCAGTGAAGGAGTCTGATGTGTGTGTTCAGTGAAGGAGTGTGTGTGTGTGTGTGTTCAGTGAAGAAGTCTGATGTGTGTGTTCAGTGAAGGAGTCTGATGTGTGTGTGTTCAGTGAAGGGGTGTGTGTGTGTGTTCAGTGAAGGAGTCTGATGTGTGTGTTCAGTGAAGGAGTCTGATGTGTGTGTGTGTGTGTGTTCAGTGAAGGAGTCTGATGTGTGTGTGTGTGTTCAGTGAAGGAGTCTGATGTGTGTGTGTGTGTGTGTGTGTGTGTGTGTGTGTGTGTGTGTTCAGTGAAGGAGTCTGATGTGTGTGTGTGTTCAGTGAAGGAGTCTGATGTGTGTGTGTGTGTTCAGTGAAGGAGTCTGATGTGTGTGTGTGTGTGTGTGTGTGTGTGTGTTCAGTGAAGGAGTCTGATGTGTGTGTGTGTGTGTGTGTGTGTGTGTGTGTTCAGTGAAGGAGTCTGATGTGTGTGTGTGTGTGTGTTCA